GGTATAATTTTCAGGATCTTTTGTCACAGAAAATCTAGCATAACGAACAATAGCAGGTGGAGATCTTGTACGTTTTATAATGAAACCTAAATCATTTTGTAATTCAAAAGCAGGATTTTTCTCTGAACTGATATTAGGATTTTCACAACTAGACATTACTCTATACTCTGAGCAGAAAGTAGCAATACACATATCATCAAATTGTTTGCCTTTAGGTCTAGCAAAATAACGATCAATTGTGGAAGTCATAAATAAATTATAATCTGACAATGTACCATCTTTTGCTCTACTTTGTAAAACTTTCAGCGGAAGAGTTACTCTTATATTATTCTTACCAGTTGGTATAAACTGAACTTTTCTAGAACATTGTTTTAAAGGTAAACCTAAAACTCTTACAGCACTTTCTGGACCAGAAACTTCTCTAGAATGTAAATAAGTAGTTGATATTTTACGCATACAAGCTTTAGCATCCAAATTATTTTGTTTAGCTTCTTTAAATGTTTCACGTAATAACAAACCCATTTCTCTTTCAGCTTTAGTAATATATGAAACAATATAAATAATACATGCATAAGCATTAGTTACATATTGTATGTCTAAGTTTGCATTCCAGGCTCTTAACATATGAGGATTATATTGATTGATCCAGCTTGCATTTACACCTCTTTTTAGTACTATATATGTCTTTTTAGTTAGTTTCTCACACGCTAGTTCAAAAATTTCTTGACTAATAGACAATTCATCATATAAACTAGACAATGACTGATAGTTTTTATCTTCAGAAAACAATTCCTTCCAAATAGATTCTAGAATAGATCGAGCTTGATCTGTAGTTAAAGTATTTTTATTGTCTGCATTTATCTCATTACTTTCAGTATTTTCAACTTGCTCAGTAGAATTCTCAGTTTCTAATGGTCGACAAATAAATGTTTTATCTGAAGGAGGTTTAGGAAAATTAAATCTACAAACTTTTTTATTTTTCCTACAAGATTTAGAATGTTTAGAACTGTGTTTCTGAACATTGGATACTATTTCATTTAATTCAGGGTCTGTCTTCTCATCTGGCAATTCACAAGAAATATATTTATCAATAAATTCTACAACCTGTTCATCACTTTCTACATCTAGTTTAGGAGCTTGATCTATATAAATTATCATATGAACATGTGGTGATCCTCTTTGTTGAAATTCAATTCGATAAAAATAGTCAGAAATTTTTCCTAGTGGCTCTGCATCTGATAGTAATACATTTCTTAAAAACAGCTTAAATCTTTGATCAAAAAGTCTGGCAACTGTTACTGGATTTGATCTCAACAATTCACGTTTCTGTAGCCAATTTAAATCACATACTTTTACTGTAGAACCTTGTTGTAACAATATTGTTTTTAAGAAGGATTCAAATCTTAGTTCACTACAACTAAATGACACAAAAAAAGTAGGAGTACCTAGTTGTCTTAACATAGCAAACAGATCTTTCTGAGTAGCTTGCCAATAAGCTGGACTTCCACGACAGTTTTTCATAAAGGTATAACCAGTATCAGATTTGAGAATATTTTGTAGTGGTTCATCTTGAGTTAACATATCAGCTGTTATCATATTACCTCCCATTCTACCTTGTCTTAAAGCAATAGATGTACCTGATATTATTTGTTGTAATTCATAAATATATTGACCATAAAATAAATAATCTGAGCATGATGCAAAACGATTGTCTACAGACATTAATCTAGTCTTCAAATATTTACCTAGTGTTATTCTAACATCTCTATTTTCAAAAAAAGTATTTTTACCTTTAGGAAACAAATAAGGAAAGGAACACGCTTCATTTGACTTATCCATTAAAAGTCTAACAGGTTGATTATTTTCACTTGGAGAAACAGAAAATATCTTATCAGAACTATTCAATACTTCAGCAGTAGCATCAACAGGTTGAAGGCATGTTCCACCTAATGAATCACAAGTATATCTACCTATATTATCATCTATTAATGGTAAATCATCCTCGCTATCACTATTAGACTTATGATCAGATTCTATATTTACTGTTGTATCATTAGATTCTACATTTACTGTTGTATCATTAGATTCTACATTTACAGATATATTATCTTCTATCATTTCATCTTGTTTATCTTGTTCTTCAACCCACCTGTCATTTAGAGTAACATCATGATAATAAACATTGTTATCTTTCAAGTAATTTAGTGCATTTTTTATGTGATTTTTTGTAACTGTTTGAAATTCATAATATCCCTTATTACATATTTTCTTTTTCAGTTTAATTCTTATCATTTCATCATCACTTTTACATCTAGGTAATACATTGCTCATTTCAGTCAAATTTGATGGCACAGAAACTATCTCACCTAATAATTTTTTATCATTTTGTGGACATACTTTAACTAGTTTCAAGAATAGAATATTTTTACATACAAGGTGTTTCTCTAATTGATTTAAGCATTTCAGTTCATTAGGTATTGGACCAGGATCCATGTCATTTACAATAGCCTCAGCCGGCATTTTACCTTGTAAAATTTTTTTATTACATGTTAAACATATCCAAAGAGTTTTATAATTATCAGACCAGCAACAATCATTAGTAATACAAATGTCATCACAAACATGATAGTAAGTTTTAGTTATACATTTCTTTGCTAATCTTTCTACTAGTTTACTTTTCTTTTCATAAAGTTCTTCTTGACACTCTTTAACTTGATTCTTAAATAATAATCTATTACAAACTGAACACACATAAATAGGACCTTCAGAAGTATCTGTTTTAAATTGATTAATAACTTTATCAATACTACTCATTTCTTTTCTTTTGGTAATTCGTCTTTTATTTCTCAGTTTGTTTACTTTGACTTTATTGTTGTTATAATTCTTTCTAGATTTCTGTTTTTGTTTATTTTTATACTGTAAATTAATTTTATACATATTTCTATATTTATTTAAAATTTTTATCCTCAATTCATTCATATACCTTTGTTTCAGTTTTAACTTTATTTCATCTATATATTTACATTTTAATTCCCATTTTAAGACTTTTTGATATTTAACCTTGAGCTTTGGTTTTAAGATTGTTTGATATTTGTTCTTCAGCTTTGGTTTTAATATTTTGTGATATTTGTCCTTCAGTTTTGGTTTCAATACATTTTGATATTTGTCTTCAAGTTTTGGTTTCAATATATTTTGATATTTGTCTTCAAGTTTTGGTTTTAATACATTTTGATATTTGTCTTCAAGTTTTGGTTTTAATACATTTTCATATTTTTCTTCAAGTTTTGGTTTTAATACATTTTCATATTTTTCTTCAAGTTTTGGTTTTAATACATTTTGATATTTGTCTTCAAGTTTTGGTTTCAATACATTTTGATATTTGTCTTCAAGTTTTGGTTTTAATACATTTTGATATTTGTCTTCAAGTTTTGGTTTTAATACATTTTGATATTTGTCTTCAAGTTTTGGTTTTAATACATTTTGATATTTGTCTTCAAGTTTTGGTTTTAATACATTTTGATATTTGTCTTCAAGTTTTGGTTTTAATACATTTTGATATTTGTCTTCAAGTTTTGGTTTTAATACATTTTGATATTTGTCTTCAAGTTTTGGTTTTAATACATTTTGATATTTGTCTTCAAGTTTTGGTTTTAATACATCTTGATATTTGTCTTCAAGTTTTGGTTTTAATACATCTTGATATTTGTGTTCAAGTTTTGGTTTTAGTATTGTTTCATATTGTGTGTGTAGTATAGACTTTAATTGACTTGTATATTTTCTTTTTAAATGAGCTTTAATATAACTAATCTGATATTGTTTTCTCCTCCTTTTATTCAAACTATTAATTTCTTTTTTGGTTCTAAATGCAAGTTTAAAGTTTAATCTGACTTTTTGTCCAGAATTTAGTTCCTTCTTTACTAAATTATAGTTTTGAAAATAATTAGTTCGCTTTTTATTAGGTTTCCATCTACTACCTCGTTTCTTTTTCAAATATTTTCTTTTACCTGATAATTGTGTATCAACATTATCATCAATAACTATAATAGGTTCATTTCTCTCAACATTTTCAACCACTTCATAATGATTCTCATCTCTATGTTGTAAATAAATAGCTTCTGGTGCATAACTATTGTTAATCTGTAATACAGGAAATTTCACCCATTTATTATTAGTAAAAATATAAATATCTGTTTGTAATAAATCACAAGCTGCCAATATTTCAAATTCTGTACCCCATGTTCCTAGTAGTCTCATTCTAGAACGTTTAATATAGTCATCAATAGCTTGATATTGTTCTCTTAATAAAGATGTGAAAAAATCTGCCCTTGATTTTATATGGTTAACTATAGCAAGTCTTACTTTTCTATGATTATTTTCACATAAAGAAAGAACAAATGATAAGCTTCTAAACAAACAATTACCATCTCGTTTGATTTCAGTTATTTTAGAAGGTTTTGTCAGTTTACAAATCTCAGCCACATCAACATCATGTAAGTTATCAACAGGTAAACTAATCAGTTCACATAACTCTCTTCTTTTCTCTGATCTAATTGGCTTAAAAATAAAATCATTGGTTTCTACATTAGTTATAACAACCTCATCAGTATCTTTATCTTGACTACTTGATTCAATTGGATGATCAACTTGCATAATGTCACACTCATCAACAGAATTATTTACTTCATTAATTGGATCATTACTCTCATTACCCATCATAATAACATTAATACCAGTTATTTCATACTGCTCTAACCTATTCAAATTCATTGATACACTTAAATTTAAACAATGTACATACAAATCATTAATATCATTATATTCTAATAGAATACTACAGCCATCTTCTGATAATAACCCAAAATCGTTTCTTGAATGCGAGTCAAACACAAAATAACTATCATCATGTTGCATAATAGCGAACGTGCTTGCATTAAATGTCACAAAACAAGACTCGTATGTTCTCAAACATGTTTGAAGATTTTCAAACAGACCTATGGCAACATAATTAACAGCATCTATAATTCCAACTTCTGAATTATCACTGATATCTAAATAAAAGTATTTACCTTCAACTTCAACTGATGTTACTAATTCACTGACCATAATATAATCATGTTGTATATTAGGTTGAGACTGAAGAATCTGATAGTATTCATTTCCTAAATCTAAGATTTTGTCTAAGGTGGAACTTTTCCATGATCTTACATTCATAATTTTTCTGTATATCATACACAGAAGGCTGTTCACAGTGCACTGTTTGCCAGCATAAAATCCATATCGTTCTATATTACCTTGATTAAAATTACCAGATATACATATCCTTTCAACTTGTCTCTTTCTACTTTTACTAGAAAAAAAGTTTTCTTTACTCTTCTCTTTACTAATGTTACTAGAAGCATTTTTTACCTTGCTTTTCACAGGTATTTCTACTTTTTCATATGAAATTTCTGTAGGACTATCAGATTCATGGACAACAGGCAATTCATTGACATTTTCTTTTGAAACTTTATTATTGAATCTACTGGCATTAGAATTTGATTTTGCAACATATTCAAGATCACTGT